ACACGCGATGCATTTTCAGATTGCATAGGCTTATTAAATGTTATTTATTTGGTTTGTTGAAGTATTCAACACATTTCTAAGCATAATGGGTAATAAATAATTTTTAAAAACTGATTTTTTTTTTCTTTGCCATGATGACAGTACATAATATTTGACTAGATATTCTTGAAGATGTGAAAAATTAAAGTGACATTTAAAGGCTTAACTTGGTTAATTGGGTTAAAGATAGGGCAATTAGGCAAGTCATTGTATAACAGTGGTTTGTTTTGTACAGAATAGTAGAAAAATATTGTAATAATATTGACATATTTTTTAACTGCTTTTATTCTAGCTGAAATAAAACAAATAAGACTTTCTCCAGAAGAAAAAAATATATTATAGAAAATACTGTGAAAATTTTCTGAATCTATTAAACATCATTTTGGAAATATTTGAAAAATAAAATGTAATAATAATATTTTTGACTTCAACTATGAATATATAGAGGGTTTGATAACTTTTTCTTTCACCAGCCACTGTGGCTATTAGTTTTCCATTTTCACTGGCCATAATTTTGTCAGTAAAAAGTATTTTATATGCATAAATTTTACATGCTAAAATTACTTGATTTAAATTTTGTATTATGTCCACATGCCTCCTCTGTCACTTAAGTTTTCTGTGTGTTCATTGAGCTTGAGCAAATGGGTTGTGCTTTCATAGTGTCTTGTTGTAATTAGTTTTATTCCACATGACTTTTCAGGGCTCAACACTAAGGATGTAAACTAACTAACTAACTAAATACAAACTAATTATTTCCTTGGCACAACTTTTAAATAAAGTGTCAACACGAGCAAAATTTAACTAATTATTCAACAAAAATGTTCTTAAAATCAATTGGCATTAAAAATACATATATATATATATATATATATTCTCATGTATCTAAAACTATACACAGTAGTCTGTCCAGGCTAAAGGTCCCAGGTCACCTGTTAACTATAAATAAATGGAGTTGATATCCTATTAAAGCAATGTCATTGTAAAGGATGACAATTAAATCACAAAAATAACTGTAAGCAAAATAAAGCCGGTGAAAAACATACCGGGTGCGACAATAAAATGATAATCATTCATTCACACGAGAATGCTGTTGTGTTTGCGATAAGGAGGGACGAGGCTGAATTCAGCTTCTTATTTGCAGCTTCTTATTGACTCTATCCGGTCCACCTTAAAAACCCAGAGGCTTCCGTTTTTCAGCTTTTTATTCGCGCTCAAGAGAAGACACTGAGCAAGGGCTTATAAGACAAGGGCTTATTAGACAAATGTCAACAGTCTTTGGCCGTCGACGAGCTCTCAGAAATAGGCACCATTTTTACAAATAAACTGCATAGTTGCAATCTAAACAACTACATTCTCCATAATACATTTTGTTGTCTGACAACAGTAATATTTGTCAAACTGAAGTGTCTCTGCTTGTTGCTTGCTGTATGTGGGCGGAGTATTACACAGAAGTGAATGGTGAAGAGGCCTTTGTGTGTTGTTACTGAAAAATATAGCATCACTGTCAGCCAATCAGATTCAAGAACCTGACAGAACTTTTATATATATATATATATATATATATATATATATATATATATATATATATATATATATATATATATATATATATATATATATATGTATATTTGTAGATATCATCTGTTGTCAGCTTTCACTTGGTTTCTTACTTCTCATGATGCGCGGCCTACTTCATTTTTTTTGGGGGGGGGATCGAAGTGCTCGCAGAATTTTAATCTGAAAACAACTTGAGCTTGAAGTCTGGAGCTCGCTAAATAAATGATGTACAGAGACGTGCACTTGAGGAGCAAACACGTTTCAGTGCTGCAATCTCAACCCGGATCCTGTCATTCACTGAGCATCAGTCAGTATGATCTCCTGCCATCGTGGAAAACCTTCTGCTGAAAAACTCCAAGACACTTGTAATGAGTGGCTTTATCTGACTTGTTTTCCGCCTTTTGTGCTGGAGCATCTTGACATTTCTGATTGACTGGGCAACATGGATTTACGTCTGTGGCCTTCGGAATATCTTTTCGGCAAATTGGGTGCTGTGAGGCGTGACAAAAACCTCAAAGTTCTTGGGTTGTGATGCAAAAAACATAAGAGACGCGCTGTAGTTGTTTGCTGTTGTATATTCTGTTGCAATATTCAGGTACTGTTCCTGCTCAATGATTAATGTGGTGCTTTACAGGAACACTTCACCTTTGTTTTTTGGAATTTTACAGCTCCATTAGAGTTAAACAGTTGAGTTTCACTATCTGTTTAATCTATTCAGCCAATCTCTGGATCTAGTGGGAGCCCTTGTAGCATAGCTTAGCATAAATTATTAAATCGCATTAGACCATTAGCAGCGTAATTATTATTTTTTAAAGTTTAAAAAAAAAAAAAAAATATATATATATATATATATATATTTAAGCCATTAAAATGAATGAGTTTCATAGCGCAGTGCTCTCCACATCCAGTGTGCAAGCTGCCTCGTAGGACACATTGGCGATATCTGTTTTTTCAGCTCATATTTTCTGCCATTTTTTCACTTTCAAATGAAAACAGAGAATGTTCCATAACTCTCTCTAATAATATTTAATGTGCTGCTTTACTGGAACAAACCGCTTTATTTGGATTTTACAGCTCCCCTAGAGGTAAACTGTTGAGTTTATTCAATGCCAATTTCAGGCTCTAAAGGGAAGACTTTTAGCTTAGCTTAGCATAGACCATTGAATTGTGTTAAACTATTAGCATCTTGCTAAAAAACATGTTAAAAAGTTTTAATAACTTTCCTCAAGCCATTGAAATGAACGATTTTCATAGCACAGTGCTTTCCTCATCCAGACTGCAAGCCGCTTCACAGGACACATTGACAATGTCTACTTTTTCAGCTCATGTTGTCCATTTTTTATTTTTTATTTTTTTGTATGAAAACCAAATAAGATTTTTGATCATTTTCTCTAATAATATTTAATGTGGTGCATGCTTTACGAGAACATGCAATGTCTTTATTTGAGTTTTACAGCTCCCCTAGAGTTAAACAGTTGAGTAATTTAGCCAACTCAGCCAATTTCAACGTCTAGTGGGAGCACTTTTAGCTTTGCTTAGCATATTTTTTTTATTATTATTGTAGTAAACCATTAGCATCTTCCTTTAGAAAAAAATGTTAAAAAGTTGTAATAATTTTCTTTAAGTTGTTTAAAAAAGATTGAGTTTACATTGATGATATATTTCAGCTTATATTTTCTGCCATTTTTCTATTTCGGTTGAAAACCAAAAGATTTAGACACTTTTTTCTAACAATATTTCATGTGGTACTTTACAGGAACACTTTACCTTTTCTTATTTTACAGCTCTTCTACAGTTAAACAGTTGAGTTTATTCAGCCAATTCAGCCAATTTCAGGATCTAGTGTAGCCACTTTTAGCTTAGCATAGAATCATTGAATTGTATTAGACCATTAGCATCTTACTCAAAACAAAATGTTAAAAAAGTTTTAATAATTTTCCTCAAGCCATGAATGAAATGAATGAGTTTCATAGCGCAGTGCTTTCAGCATCCAGTCTGGAAGCCACATCACAGGACACATTGACAATATCAGTTTCTTTCAGCTCATATTTTCATACATTTTTCTTTTTTGTATGAAAACCAAAAAAAGATTTTCCATAATTTTCTCTTATAATATTTATTGTGGTGCTTTACAGGAACACGCCATGTCTTTATTGGAATTTTACAGCTTTCCTAGAGTTAAACAGTTGAATGTGTTCAGCCAATCCTTCCAATTTCAGGTTGTTGTGGGTGCACTTTTAGCTTAGCATAAATCATTGAATCATATTAGACATCTTATTAGCATCTTTCTAAAAAACAATGTTAAAAAGTTTGAGTTTCATAGCGCAGAGCTTTCCCCATTCAGTGCGGAAGCTGCTTCACAGGACACATTGGCGATATCTTTTTTATTTTTTTTTTTAGCTCATATTTTTGCCCGTTTTTAACTTTCCGATCAAATCAGAAAATATCCGAACATTTTCTGTACTAATAATTTGGTGTTTTCCTACTGTATAGTCCCTTTCATACAGTATTATTAATAAATAACTGTCATGTCTTGATAAATTCAATCATTTCCACTCATCGGCATTACATTAATTGTTGGAAATGTTACAACTTCACATTCCGTAAAATTGACATAACAAACTTTACGGTATTTTTACTGTAATATTTTTTTGATGGAAATTCACCTTGTACATCATTTTATGGAAAGGTGTGTGTGGTATTTATATAATTTGTGTGTTCTTTTTTAAGAATGTTTCTTTTCCCACAATTTTCATTCTTGCCTCATCTGATGACTTATTAAAAGCAAACATAAGCAGATAAGATTTCTTTTGATGTTTGTTCCCATAGAGAACCTGCAGAGGATTGCATCATCAATAATGGATGTTTTAAAACATGAGCGATATTCATCACTAGAAAAGATGCTGTGGATTTTAGACGGTTTCTACTTCCAACTAAGCAAAGGTTCACCGAGGACAGTGTCCCCTGTGCCATGTTGGCAATATGGTCAGAGAGATAACTCTTGGAAAAAAAAAAGAAGAAAAAAGCTTGTTTCTTCCCTCCAGCGACAGCTGTGAAAACGCAATCATTCGAGTTTGAACTTTTGAAGGAGCCTTAAGGATCTCACACCGACAAGGCTGCATCGCTCCTTAAAGTGCAATGAATTATTGAAGTGTGCAACTGAAAAGCATCTCAACCAATCAAGCCAAGCCAAACAGGACAATCTGTTAAATGTGAAGTCTTTGCGAAAGTCAGAATCTGTTTCCTCCCGCTCTTGAGTCATTTGCTGAGACTGGAGAAGAGCTTCACACAGGCTTTTTCACTAAGAGGACATTAGATAGAGCAATGGGGAAACTTGGGGGGTGAAGTGAAGTTTTAAAAGGGCTGTCAGACAGAGTCTTGACTCTTTTTTCTTTCTCCTTTAGGAGTACACGATTGATGTGTTCTTCCGGCAGAGCTGGCGGGACGAGAGGTTGAAGTTTGACGGGCCCATGCAGGTCCTTCCACTTAACAACTTGCTCGCAAGCAAGATCTGGACCCCGGATACCTTCTTCCACAACGGGAAGAAGTCAGTAGCCCACAACATGACTACACCCAATAAACTTCTGCGACTGGTAGACAATGGGACTCTACTCTACACTATGAGGTATGGCTTCAGCGCTTGGGGGTCTTTTAAATTGAATCAAATGCTTTACTGCCGTTGCACATTTGTGAAGCGAGATACAAAACATGCAACTAACTCACTGTTGTCAGAAGCATTCAAAATACATACAGTGCTCAACTTAAATAAGCACACCCTACACAAATCTCTGATTTAGATGAATATTTTCTATAGGAAGCTAAACTATATTATGTTTGTGCGTATGAATTAGATTAGGCAGTACTGAAGCTAAATCTGGAGCTAATCTAATTAAATAACTTATAATAGCGCTCCAAAATTAGTACACACAATTGTATACAGTTGAAGTCAAAATCATTAGCCCCCTTCCAATTGTTTTCTTCTTTTTTAAAATTTTTCCGAATGATGTTTAACAGAGCAATGAAATTTTCACAGTATGTCTGATAATATTTTTTCTTGTGCAGAAGGTCTTTTTCGTTTTATTTCGGCTAGAATAAAAGCAGTTTTTATTTTTTTAAACACCATTTTAGGGACAAAATTATTAGTCTCTTTTAGCTATATTTTAATCTCAATATTTTATTAGAAAATTAGAAATGTGTTAAAAAAAACTTCGCTCTGTTAAACAGAAATTGGGGAAAAATAAACAGGCGGTCTAATAATTCAGGGGGGCTAACAATTCTGACTTCAACTGTATGGGGAAAATATAAATTATAAATAAATAAATGAATAAATAAATAAATAAATAAATGAATGAATGAATGAATGAATGAATGAATGAATGAATGAATGAATGAATGAATGAATGAATGAATGAATGAATGAATGAATAAATAAATAAATAAATAAATAATTGAAGAGAAACAAAAAATGTGTACAATTTTGTTGAAAAATTTGTAGTTTGTAATGTTTTCTCAATATTTAATTTAAAGTTAAATGTATTATTGTTCTATCGCTAAAGATGTTTGGTTCCTAAAATATTATTTTAATAAATATATCTGTTTAATAAATCTGTTTTATTCAAATGAGCCAAAATATATGACCTATATTCTCAGAGAAATGGATAAAAATATTTGTTTTCAAAATGGGGTGTACTCAATTATGTTGAGCTTTGCATCCAAACAATTATCGCAGTATGCATATGTACATGTATAAGTATGTAAATTGCACAGTTTATCATAATAAAGTCCTTTTACTTTGGAAATGGAAGTATACACACACACATTTTAAAAAAACACAAGATTAGTAAACCAATCGAGAGGTGTCATTTTACCAGCGTCTAGCTTTATTGTAAGCTCCTGGAACAAGTAATCTACATAGAAATGCTGGCACATTATTTAAGTTGTTTTCCCAATGAACACGTGCGGTGATGTGCAGGTTATTTTGAACTTTGATGCGCTCCTCTGCTCTTGTGCTTTGGTCAGTGCAGAAAGGAACTGCAGTTGTGGGGCTCAAGCCACTGAAAAATGAATGGGTTTCATAGCGCAGAGCTTTCCGCATCCAGTCTGAAACATTTTCAGACAGCGGCCACTTCACATTTTACAATGACTATGGCTGCATCCGAAAACGCAGACTTCCGTACTTGATAGTATTGCAAAAACAGTATCAAAGCTGAGTGGTATGTCCGAATATATGTGTGTGTGTGTGTGTGTGTGTGTGTGTGTATATATATATATATATATATATATATATATATATATATATATATATATATATATATATATATATATATATATATATTATATATAACAGTTCTGTCTGGTTCTTGAATCTGATTGGCTGATAGCTGTGCAATATTTAGCCAGTAACATCACACAAAGGCCTCTTCACCCTTTACCTTTGTGTGTTACTCCGCCCACATAGAAGCAGAGCACGCTCTACAGTTTGACAAATATTCCTGCTGTTGGACAACATAATGTGCTTTTAAGGCTATTTTAGTAGAGAATGCAGCTGTTTACATTGCAACTATGCAGTTTATTTATAACGATAGTGCCTATTTTAAATATTTATAATTTCTGAGAGATAGCATGTCGACGTTTATTAGTCAAAGACGGTTGATGTTGTCTCTCCATATTATGGTGACAGGACCGCATAATAAGTCCTTGCTTAGAAGATTAAAACTGTTATGTTTTCTTGAGCGAGAATAAGAAGCTGAAAAACGTAAGCGTCGTGATATTTTAAGGTGGACCGGATAGCGTCAGTAAGAAGCTGCGAATAATAAGCTGGATTCAGCCTCGTCCCTCCTTATCGCAAACACAACAGCAGTCTGGTAGTGATTGCGCTGCTTTTTTTGGGGTTAATTATTGTGATATTGTAACGATCGCTTAATGTTTGATTCGCATTGTGTATAAATGTCATGTCCCCATTAAGAAGACTTCTTCTGTGGTTGTTTTAGCTTTGAGATGTAAGCACGCATGTATGGGAGCTCAGTTCAGTTCTGGCGAGTTCTGAGAAGTGTGTGATGGTCGCTCTACCTCTGTATCATTCTTTTATTTCAATAATGTAACATTTTATTTTGCCACAAATGTTTGAGTGTCTTTTCCTTTTGCCTACTCATTGTCGTTGACTGGCATGTACAGTAGAAGTCATAATTATTAGCCCCCCTTTGATTTTTTCTTTCTTTTTCAAATATTTCCCAAATGATGTTTAACAGAGCAAGGAAATTTTCACAGTATGTCTGATAATATTTTTTCTTCTAAAGAAAGTCTTGTTTGTTTTATTTCAGCTTGAATAAAAGCAGTTTTTAATTTTTTAAACACCATTTAAGGTCAAAATTATTAGACCCTTTAAGCTATATATATTTTTTTCGATAGTCTACAGAACAAACCATCATTATACAATAACTTGCGTAGTTACCCTAACCTACCAAGTTAACCTAATTAACCTAGTTAAGCCTTTAAATGTCACTTTAAGCTCTAGATGTCTTAAAAAATATCTAGTGTAATATTATTTAATGTCATCATGACAAAGATAAAATAAATCAGTTATTAGAGATGAGTTATTAAAACTATTATGTTTAGAAATGTGTTGAACAAATCTTCTTTCCATTAAACAGAAATTGGGGGAAAAATAAACAGGGCGCATAAAACATATGCTGGAATAGTTGGCGGTTCATTCCCTGTGGTGACTCCTGCATAAATTCGGGACTAAGCTGAAGGAGAATGAATGAATATACAGTCAAGCACATATTATTCATACCCCTGGTGTATGAATAATTTCAGACTTGACTGTATATATGGAAATAATGTAGGAGTACTGCAGTATGATATGAGAGTATTACAGTGTATGCCATGGGTGGCACGTTGAAGTTTTCGGGTTCGGTGTGAAAACCGATGCTTTGGGGGGGGAAATGAATTCAGGTGGACAGCAGGATGTCAAACAGAATACAGATCCAGCTTGACTTCTCCAGCCTTTTCAGATGAGCTGGAAGAGGCAGACTAATGCCTTCTTATCAATGGAGGACCCCGGAAGGACGGGCCATTGGGGACTTGGCCCAGCCTGTGACCCAAACGCCCCAAATGCTTGATGAATGAGTTCAAGAATTGAATTGCGACTAGCTTGGCCAGGAGCTGTCCAGAGCAATGTGTTTAGCTGCCAGAGACAGAGAAGGCCAATTCCTGCACAGACTCCATGAGAGAGAGAGAGAGAGAGAGAGAGAGAGAGAGAGAGAGCTCATCTGTATCTCTCAGCTAAATGGGTTGTATCTCTGCAAAACTTTAACCTCATACCAAATGTTATAAAAGGCCATCAATCTACAGGGAGAAGCTACTACATCATCATATTACCACTAATACATCCGACCAGCGTAACCTTGAGGTTCCCCCATAAAGTTTAAAAGTGAAGGCTTTCTCTGAGGAATGGCGATTGTTGCTGAAATGGACGCCGCTATATGCTCAGATCGATGTTAGATGCGTTTGCAATTGATTAAAGTGGTTCTTGCTGACTCGGCGGCGTTTAACACTAACACGCCTGATGCATTAAACATACATGAATTTCACATCTGCAGAATGTACGTGGCATAAAAATATTCATGAATTCTTTTACCCTCTAGAAATAGACCACACTTGCCGGAAAGCCAATAGCAGTGCGGTGGCACTTGCTAATTCATCATGCGCAATGTAAAGAAATGTCGGTGATTTCATTGGTCAGAACTAAGGATGATTTTTATGATGCATCATTTGCGTATTTGTTTTATGCACTGTGATTGGCTTGCATTGATGTTGTTCGCTGACTAGTATTTTTAAATGTGTAGTTTTGTCGATGTGTTGATGTCTGATGAAGGTCATGGGAGCAAAACATCATATATTCGGTTGAACCAACACAATCTCACGGCAATTCGTAACTTTTTCATTTAGTGGCTAATTCGTATGAATTCGTTCGATCTAATTCGTACAATTTAGTACGATTTGCTAATCCCCCAATGACGGTTGGTGTTAGGGGTGGGGTTAGGTGCCACGCCTCCTTTTTAAAATCGTATCATTTCGTACGACTGAAATCGTACGAATTCGTACGAATTAGCCACTAAACTGGCAAAACGTAAAATACTTACGTTTTCTCGTGAGATCAGGCTGGTTGAACTGAAAATTATTCACTTTTTTTTTTTCAAATATTTCCCAAATTTTCCCATATTTCCTCTAATTTATATATATATATATATATATATATATATATACAACAGTTCTGTCTGGTTCTTGAATCTGATTGGCTGATAGCTGTGCAATATTTTGCCAGTAACATCACACACACAAAGGCCTCTTCACCCTTTACCTTTCTGTATTACTCCGCCAACGTACAAGCAGAGCACGCTCTACAGTTTGACAAATATTCCTGCTGTTGGACAACATAATGTACTTTTAAGGCTATTTTAGTAGAGAATGTAGCTGTTTACATTGCAACTATGCAGTTTATTTATAAGGATAGTGCCTATTTTAAATATTTATATTTAATAAATGGGGTGGGGGGTCCAATTTCGCTTAGAAAGTGTATGTGACAAATAAAGGTGTCTGTAGCTCCGCCCACTCTCCGCCTCT